GCAGATCTCGGCAGAAACCCTACAAGCCAGAATAGAGTGGGGGCCAATATTCAACATCCTTAAAGAAAAGAACTTTCAACCCAGAATTTCATATCCAGCCAAACTGAGCTTCATAAGTGAAGGAAAAATAAAATCCTTTGCAAACAAGCAAGTACTCAGAGATTTTGTTACCACCAGGCCTGCTTTACAAGAGCTCCTGAAAGAGGCACTACACATAGAAAGGAACAACCAGTACCAGCCATTCCAAAAACATACCAAATGCTAAAGAGCATCAACAAAATGAAGAATCTGCATCAACTAATGGGCAAAACAGCCAGCTAGCATCAAAATGGCAGTATCAAATTCACACATAACAATATTAACCCTAAATGTAAATGGGCTAAATGCCCCAATCAAAAGACACAGACTGGAAAATTGGATAAAAAGCCAAAACCCATCAGTGTGCTGTATCCAGGAAATCCATCTCACGTGCAAAGATACACAAAGGCTTAAAATAAAGGGATGGAGGAAGATTTACCAAGCAAATGGAGAGCAAAAAAAAAAGCAGGAGTTGCAATTCTCATCTCTGATAAAATAGATTTTAAAGCAATAAAGATCAAAAGAGACAAAGAAGGACATTACATAATGGTAAAATGATCTATACAAGAAGAGCTAATGATCCTAAATATATATGGACCCAATACAGGAGCACCCAGATATATAAGGCAAGTTCTTAAAGACTTACAAAGAGACTTAGACTCCCACACAATAATAGTGGGAGACTTTAACACTCCACTGTCAATATTAGACAGATCAACCAGACAGAAAATTAACAAGGATATCTAGGACTTGAACTCAGACCTGGAACAAGCAAACCTGATAGACATATACAGAACTCTCCACCCCAAATCCACAGAATATACATTCTTCTCAGCACCACATCACACCTACTCTAAAATTGACCACATAATTGGAAGTAAATTACTCCTCAACAAATGCAAAACAACAGAAATCATAACAGTCTTTCAGACCATAGGGCAATCACGTTAGAACTCAGAATTCAGAAACAAACTCAGAACCGCACAGCTTCATGGAAACTGAACAACTGGCTCTTGAATGTTGTCGGGATACACAATGAAATAAAGGCAGAAATAAAGAAGTTCTTCGAAACCAATGAGAACGAAGACACAACATACCAGAATCTCTGGGACACATTTAAAGCAGTGTCTAGAGGAAAATATAAAGCAATAAGTGCCCACATGAGAAGAGTGGAGAGATCCAAAATTGACACCCTATTGTCAAAATTGAAAGAGCTAGAGGAGCAAGATCAAAAAAACTCAAAACCTAGCAGAAAACAAGAAATAACTAAGATCAGAGCAGAACTGAAGGAGATAGAGACATGAAAAACCCTTCAAATAATCAATAAATCCAAGAGCTGGTTTTTCGAAAAGATCAACAAAATAGACCACTAGCCGGATTGATAAAAAAGAAAAGAGAATAACCAAAAAGACGCAATAAAAAACAATAAAGGGGATTACCACAAATTCCACAGAAATTGAAACCATCATCAGAGAATATTACAAACAATGCTATGTACATAAACTAGTAAACCTGGAAGAAATGGATATATTCCTGGACACTTGTGTCCTCCCAAGCCTAAACCAGGAGGAAGCCAAAACTATGAATAGACCAATAACAAGGTCTGAAGTTGAGGCAGCAATTAAGAACCTACCACACAAAAAAAGCCCAGGTCCAGATAGGTTCACAGCCGAATTCTACAAGACACACAAAGAGGAGCTGGTACCATTCCTTCTGAAACTATTCCAAATAATTCAAAAAGATGGAATCCTTCCCAAATCATTTTATGAGACCAACATCATCCTGATACCAAAACCTGGCAGAGACTCAACAAGAAAAGAAAACTCCAGGCCAATATCCATGATGAACATAGACGCAAAAATCTTCAATAAAATACTGGCAAGCCGATTGCAACAGCACATCAAAAAGCTGATCCACCATGATCAAGTAGGATTCATCCCTGGGATGCAAGGCTGGTTCAACATACGCAAGTCTATAAATGTAATTCACCACATAAACAGAACCAAAAACAAAAACCACATGATTATCTCAATTGATGAAGAGAAGGCCTTTGACAATATTCAACAGCCCTTTATGCTAAACACCCTCAATAAACTTGGTATTGATGGAACGTATCTCAAGATAATAAAAGCTATTTATGACAGACCAACAGCCACTATCATACTGAATGGGCAAAAACTGGAAGCATTCCCTTTGAAATCTGGCACTAGACAAGGATGCCCTCTCTCACCACTCCTATTCAATATAGTACTGGAAGTTCTAGCCAGAGCAATCAGGCAAGAAAAAGAAATAAAGGGTATTCAAATAGGAAAGGAGGAAGCCAAATTGTCTCTATTTGCAGACGACATGATTGTATATCTAGAAGACCCCATCATCTCAGCCCAAAATCTCCTGAAACTGATAAGCAACTTCAGCAAAGTCTCAGGATACAAAATCAATGTCCAAAAATCACAAGCCTTCCTCTACACCAATAACAGACTGAAAGAGAGCCAAATCAAGAACGAACTGCCATTCACAATTGCTACAAAGAGAATAAAATACCTAGGAATACAACTAACAAGGAATGTAAAGGACCTCTTCAAGGAGAACTACAAACCACTGCTCAATGAAATAAGAGAGGACACAAACAGATGGAGAAACATTCCATGTTCATGGTTAGGAAGAATCAATATCGTGAAAATGGCTACACTGCCCAAAGTAATTTACAGACTCAACGATGTCCCCATCTAGCTACCAATGACCTTCTTCACAGAACTGGATAAAAACCACCTTGAATTTCATATGGAACCAAAAGACAGCCTGCATAGCCAAGTCAATTCTAAGCAAAAAGAACACAGCGGGAGGCATCACACTACCGGACTTCAAACTATACCACAAGGCTACCATAATCAAAACAGCATGGTACTGGTACCAAAGCAGAAATATAGACCAATGGAACAGAACAGAGGCATCCGAGGCAACACAACATACCTACTACCATACAATCTTTGAAAAAACCGGACAAAAACAAGCAATGGGGAAAGGATTCCCTGTTTAGTAAATGGTGTTGGGAAAACTGGCTAGCCATGTGCAGAAAGCGGAAACTGGACCCCTTCCTGACACCTTACACTAAAATTAACTCCAGATGGATTAAAGACTTAAACATAAGACCTAACACCATAAAAACCCTAGAAGAAAATCTAGGCAAAACCATTCAGGACATAGGAGTAGGCAAGGACTTCATGACCAAAACACCAAAAGCATTGGCAGCAAAAGCCAAAATAGACAAATGGGACCTAATCAAACTCCACAGCTTCTGCACAGCAAAAGAAACAGTCATTAGGGTGAATTGACAACCAACAGAATGGGAAAAATTTTTTGCAGTCTACCCATCTGACAAAGGGCTGATATCCAGAATTTACAAAGAACTCAAACAGATTTACAGGAGAAAAACAAACAAGCCCATTCAAAAATGGGCAAAGGATATGAACAGACACTTTACAAAAGAACACATACATGAGGCCAACAAACATATGAAAAAATGATCATCATCACTGGTCATTAGAGAAATGCAAATCAAAACTACATTGAGATACCATCTCATGCCAGTTAGAATGGCGATCATTAAAAAGTCTGGAGACAACAGATGCTGGAGAGGATGTGGAGAAATAGGAATACTTTCACACTGCTGGTGGGAGTGTAAATTAGTTCAACCATTGTGGAAGACCGTGTGGCGCTTCCTCAAGGACCTAGAAATAGAAATTCCATTTGACCCAGCATTCCCATTACTGGGTATATATCCAAAGGACTATAAATCGTTCTACTACAAGGACACATGCACACAAATGTTCATTGCAGCAGTGTTTACAATAGCAAAGACCTGGAACCAACCCAAATGCCCACTGATGATAGACTGGACAGGGAAAATGTGGCACATATACACAATGGAATACTATGCAGCCATCAAAAACGATGAGTTCATGTCCTTTGTAGGGACATGGATGAATCTGGAGAACATCATTCTCAGCAAACTGACACAAGAACAGAAAATGAAATACCGCATATTCTCACTCATAGGTGGGTGATGAACAGTGAGAACACATGGACACAGGGAGGGGAGCACTACACACTGAGGTTTATTGGGGGGAATAGGGGAGGGACAGCAGAGGGGGGAGCTGGGGAGGGATAGCAGGGGGAGAAATGCCAGATGTGGTTGAAGGGGAGGAAGACAGCAAATCACACTACTGTGTGTGTACCTATGCAACTATCTTGCATGTCCTGCACATGTACCTCAAAACTTAAAATGCAATAAAAAGGAAAAAAAAAAAAAAGAAACAACTTTAGTTATCCCTGATAATAAATATCATGGAGAGAAAAAGAAATTGAGGTCTTTGAAGAATCCCTAAATATCATTTCAGTCCATCACTGTCAGCATCCCACACTGCTTTCAGATCCATTCCCAGGTGCATTTACAGGGCAGCCAAGCTTCCTCATCTGGGTTCCAGCTCCCTTAGTTTCTATAGCGTACTCACTGAGCTAATGAGCAGTATAGTGGCTGAAAGCTAGGGAGAAATAAGAGAGAAATCAGAGACGACGTTTTCTGACTTTTGTCCTAGATTGTTTGAAACTAAGTAACATTAGAATAATGAAGAATTGACCACCTTTCCCATGCTGCATTCCAGCTTGGGAAATCTTTACCATACTGTTTTATTATGTCATCTTAATCATAACAGCCTGCATAAATATTTTAGTTTGGGTTAGGATGAAAATGAAAAAGGGATTAGAAATAACATTTACTCTTTTTTCTTAAGCCTTCAGAAGGATTTAAAAACTTAAAGATGTTAAATGCAAACGTCATTGCCATTCCAAGTTAACAAGTGTTAAGAGTTTTTTGTTGTTTATTTTTGGGGGTGATCCTTAACAGTATGTGTTTTTCTTTTCAGCCACTAAGTCAGGATTGTTACCCCCACCACCTGCGCTTCCTCCAAGACCTTGTCCATCACAGGTAGGAGACATATTTGATTTCTGTAAATTGTTCAGTGGTAGGGAAGTTGTCCTTTTGCTGTGTTTCTTTGCAAGGGTTGATTGCTACAGATCTGGTCCATGAGATTCCCAAGCTGATACCCTATGAAGAGAGCAGAGAGTGGTTTAATTTCTTCTCATCCAGCCAGCACCCCAGCCTCTTGTGGAAGAAAGAAAGTTTCCTCAATAAGCCACCAAGCACACATATACTAGTTCACTCTTGGCTGTCCAGGGGTGCATCTGTTTTTCATCCAGAGAGAAGAGTAGAAGAAGGGGTCTCTCTCTAATTGGAGGTGGGAACATGGTTTTTCTGTATAGGGTGTGCAGTCTAGGTGCGTATATTTTATCAGCACTTTAGGAGCTGTGGTAATTCTACATAAATTTAAAAAAATGGTTATCAACATGGGGTTAGTGCCGTGATTTTGGCCTATGGTGCTTTCTTTAGGATGATAGTTTCCCTCAGAACAAAAAGCTGAAATAGCAGGAGTGGGAGATCATGCATAAAGATCTGTTTCAACTCTAAATTAATTCTGCCTTATTTACATGTGCTACTATGGCCTTATTCATCAACACTTTGCAGAGCTGAAAATGAGAAGCAAACAGCAAGACCATGGAGCATGGTATATGGTGCTACAGATCTTTCCTTTTGTTAATTGCTGCTGAAGAAACTTTCTATCTTTAAAGACCTTTTCTGCTTTTTGGCAGAAAATGTTTGGAAATTTCTCTGTAGATAGTCCCTGGTTCTGCTTCATTGTTCTGGGTGGTTCAGAGCTATCCTTCCATATGGGGACATCGCAGGACTCATGAGTCAATGAAAGTACTTTTAACACATGCTTGTCCTTCTTTCAGCGAATGAAATGGTTTTTAGCATCCACTCAACCTTGAGATGCAAATACAATTAGGTATTGGCTTTCTGCTTTAGTGTGAAAGGTAATAAAAAGCCCATTTCTTCCTGACCTGCATATAAACCAGTGAAATCTCCTTTTTCAGGATCTGACACTGGCCTTAAGAGATATTGGTTGAACTGTCAACAAGTATTTATTGAGTTCCTGCTGTATATCTATTGCCAAACCTTAGTTTTCCCCTAAGTCTTTCCTTGGCTGTAATTTCTTCTCATTCAAATAATTAACTATGTCTATTGAGCATCTATAATAAACTAGGCATTGTGCTAAGTGCTTTCAGTGTATTATTTAAACCTCACAAAACCCCTCTGAGGTAGAATCAGGTACTAATACTATCCTTTTTTACAGATAAAGAAGTTGAAGTATACAGGGGCTAAGCAAGTTACCCGAGGTGGCATAGCTAGTAAATAGTGGAGCCAGATCCCAAATTGCCGTCTGTCTCCTAATGGCCCCTCCTGTCCCCATCACTGAAGTCTAAGTGTCTATGTATACAGCCAGGCAGCAGATCCATTGCACTTGCAATGGAGGCTTTCATCACAAGCCCCTAAAGAGGAAGGACCTTGATGAGATGAAGATCCTGCTATACACCAACAGCAAACCTGGACTTGGTCATAACTAAACGAGGAGGCATTTGCTAGCTGCTAGTTCAAGCCTGGGGCTTGAGGGCCACCTGGTCGAATGCATGCAAGACCTGTCTGAAAGGGCTTTTGTAACCAAACTCCTAACTTGCTCTTGTTACACAAATGCCAGTAAGTCCCAAAATATGCTGCTACTATCAGGAGTCTTACCTGAGCTTCCTGAGGTGGGCCTCTTGCCTGCTTTTAGAGCTTAGTCACCAAAGATATGACTAAGGGACTGGGAATTCTCTAGTTACTGTTAATGAACGAGTCTGCTTCTTCGTCTATCGGATTTCCCATCACAGTATAAACAGTGAGCCCAGTTCTCAGCCCAAGCCTCCACCTCAGCTGCCTAACTATGGAGATTTCAGATTTTAATAACAGGTGTGTAAGAAATGGAGGCAGAAAATCCACATTCCATTTCTCTCCCCCATTCCCTCCTTTTGCCCACTGTAAGTGAGACACACACATTCAAATATATGAAGTCCTGGGCAATACACACATGGTTATATTTAGTTTTTGTGCTATGTCAAGTTGACATTAACCCTAGGAGAATCTTACTAACCACTCATGTGGGACACGTATGTATTCTAGTCTTTCCCAAACTGCTCATGATAAAACAGTCTCTGGGAGGTATTAATAGGACTCTGTGGTACAGATTTGCAGACGGATGCCCCTCTACCCTCTCTGGGAGAGTCACCATGCAAGTGAGCTCACTAAAGGCTTTGAAGGCCTACAGTAAAGAAAGCTGGTAAATTTTGTTAAAGCCAGCAATTTCGTAGCTTTTATGACCATTGATATCTTTATTTATAAAATAAATATTAGAATACAAAATAAATGCAAAAATCACAAGCATTCCTTTACACCAAGAATAGACAAGCAGAGAGCCAAATAATGAATGAACTCCCATTCACAATCACTACAAAGATAATAAAAAAAATCTGGGAATACAGCTAACAAGGGATATGAAAGACCTCTTCAAGGAGAACTACAAACCACTGCTCAAGGAAATTAGAGAGGACACAGACAAATGGAAAAACATTCCATTCTCATATATAGGAAGAATCAGTATCGTGAAAATGGCCATACTGCCCAAAGTAATTTATAGATTCAATGCTATTCCCATTAAACTACCATTGATATTATTCACAGAACTAGAATAAAACCACTTCATATGGAACCAAAAGAGAGCCCGCATAGCCAAGACAATCCTAAGCAAAAAGAACAAAGCTGGAGGCATCATGCTACCTGACTTCAAACTATATTACAAAGCTGTAGTAATCAAAACAGCATGGTACTGGTACCAAAACAGATGTATAGATCAATGGAATAGAACAGAGACCTCAGAAATAATACCATACATCTACAACCATCTGATCTTTGACAAACCTGACAAAAGCAAGCAATCGGGAAAGGATCTCTTTTTCAGTAAATGGTGCTGGGAAAACTGGCTAGCCATATGCAGAAAACTGAAACTGGACCCCTTTCTTACATATTATACAAAAATTAACTCAAGATGGATTAAAGACTTAATGGTAAAACCCCAAACCCATAAAAACCCTAGAAGAAAACCTAGGCAATACCATTCAGGATGTAGGCATGGGCAAAGACTTCATGACAAAAACCCCAAAAGCAATTGCAGCAAAAGCCAAAATTGACAAATGGGATCTAATTAAAGAGCTTCTGCATAGCAGAAGAAACTATCATTAGAGTGAACAGGCAACCTACAGAATGGGAGAAAGTTTTTGCAGTCTACCCATCTGACAAAGGTCTAATATTCTGAATTTACAAGGATCCTAAACATATTTACGAGAAAAAACCCATCAAAAAGTGGGCGAAGGATATGAACAGATACTTCTCAAAAGAAGACATGTATGCAGCCAACAAACATATGAAAAAAAGCTCATCATCACAGATCATCAGAGAAATGCAAATCAAAACCACAATGAGATACAATCTCATGCCAGTCAGAATGGCAATTATTAGAAAGTCAGGAAACAATAGAAGGTGGTGAGGCTGTGGAGAAATAGGAACACTTTTACACTGTTGGTGGGAATGTAAATTAGTTCTCCTATTGTGGAATACAGTATGGCAATTCCTCAAGGATCTAGAACCAGAAATACCATTTGACCCAGTAATCCCATTACTAGACAGGTACCCAGAGGAACATAAATCATCCTGCTATAAAGACACATGCACACATATGCTTATTGTAGCACTGTATACAATAGCAAAGATATGTAATGAACCCAAATGTCCGTCAGGGATAGACTGGATAAAGAAAATGTACTGACACAAGAACAGAAAACCAAACACTGCATGTTTTCACTCATTAAGTGAGTGTTGAACAATGAGAACACATGGACACAGGAAGGGAAACATCACACACTGGGGCCTGTTGGGGGGTTTGGGGGGGCAAGGGGAGGGATGGCAGGGGGTAGGGGGATTGGTGAGGGATATCATCAGGAGAAATACCTAATGTAGGTGACCGGGGGATGGATGCAGCAAACCACCATGGGATGTGTATACCTATGTAACAATGCTGCATGACTTGCACATGTACCCCAGAACTTAAAGTATAATAATAAAAAAGAAAATGTGGTAGATATATACCATGGAATGCTATGCAGCCATTAAAAGGAATGAGATCATATCCTTTGCAGGGACATGGATGAAGCTGGAAGCCATCATCCTCAGCAAACTAACACGGGAATAGAAAACCAAATACCATGTGTTCTCACTCATAAGTGGGAGTTGAACTTTGAGAACACATGGATACAGAGAAGGGAACAACATACACCATAGCCTGTTGGGGGGTGGGGGGATGAGGGGAGGGAGCTTAGAGGGTGGGTCAGTAGGTGCAGCAAACCACCATGGCACACGTATACCTATGTAACAAGTCTGCACGTTCTGCACATGTATCCCGTTTTTTTAAATAAAAGAAATTTAAAAAATCTGTATAACAAACCCTCTGTAACAAACCTGCACGTGTACCTCTGAACTTAAAAGGTGTTTAATAAAATGTTAATAAATAATATACCTGTTAACATCCTGAGGGCTTAATGGTTAGGAAACAGTTATACACCAGTCTTAAGGTATTGCTAAGAACATTTCCAAACCTTTCTCATCTGTCACCTTATCTCTGTATTATATGGTTAAAGTTAAATTTTATATCTTATGCAGTAGTTTTCCCTAGAAAAATTGAACATGAGAGTTTACAGCACATTAACTTGGGATTTCACGTTGTCCATGTTTTCAGTTTGACCTGTTTTCTTCCTCGCTTTTCTTTTCCTTCTCACTTACTCTCTCATGAGGTCATTTTACCACCCCACAGCAAGTTTTCATGAGAACTTAAACACTGAATTTTTACTTTGCTCTGTTAAATTTTTTGAATGTTCCTTGCTATGTGAGGCCCATCAGCTTGACTTTGGAAATATATCTATATCTATACCTACAAAGACTTC